AGAGAGGCTGTGGAGTCCCCATCCCTGGGAGTGTCCAAGGCCAGGCTGGATGAGGCGGGGAGCAACCTGGGCTATGGAAGGTGTCCCTGCCCGTGGCAGGGGGTGGGACTGGGGGGGCTTTGAGGTCCCTTCCAGGGATTCTTGATCCATTGCCACCCCCCCGTGAGGTCTCTGCTGTCTCACCTTCAATGCCTTGAATGTCTCCATGAATTTCTCCAGCTCGTCAGGGGGCAGGAAGTCTCCGATGAAATGTTTCCCTCTGCCCATCTGGGTCAGCTGCTCAGCCCACTCTGCCCAAGGCACAGAGGAGAGAAAACAGCGCTGACGCCGCCTTCTTCGACTTGGGGTTTAGGAAGGTCTGGGAAGCGTAAAGCCTCGCAGCAAGGGGCGGTTATCATCTCCGCTCACGGGCAGCGAAGCCACAGCACAGAGCAGTGGAAAGCGACCCCGGCAATTCCCACGCCAGCAAGGGGATCCCAGCCATCTCCCTCCGGACTCCGCCCGACCGCAGAGGACGCGGGACGGCGGCTCCCACGCACCTCGCGTCTTGTCCATCTCCATGCGTCGAAGCTGGTGCTCCCACGTTCCCAGCTCACTGTCCACCTCTTCGTCGCTGTCGTAGCCGTGTTCGTGCTGCTGGATTGCCTTCTCCCACATTATCTGCATCTCCTGTATGGCCTGTTTGTGCTTCATGATCATGTCGTACATCTGCTGCATCTAGGAGGGGAGACGCACAGAGCACTCGGTCAGACGGCCAGTTCGCAGGCAGCAGCCCCCGCACCAGCAGCCCCCCAGAACACAGCCCACAGCAGCCCCAAACCCCAACGGGCAGCCGCTCCATCCCACCCCCTCGCTTCCCAGCTCTAACGGGAGCACTGCGGGCTGGCTCCTTCGTCCGAAGCACCGTGACGTCGGTGCCGAGGACTGCTGCCCCCTGACCAGCCCCGGCAGCTGAAACATCACCCTCACGTCCCGGCAAAAGCCGGTTCCGCTCTCGCTGCCCCAAAGCTTCCAAGCATCCCCTCGCCCCCGCTAAAGCGCCGCGGCACCACAGACCCCGTAGATCTGGGGGTTTAGCTTAGGCCGTTGGCTGCTCTGATTCCTGTTCCCCAAGTCCTGGTGCTTCTGCTGACTGCAGCACCGCAGGATTCGGCAGCACAAATCCCAGAGATTTATCTGGGGGACATTGGGAAAGTCTCTTTGCCATCTCCATCTCTGTTTCCCATCTAACCCAGCCGCCCTGCCAGAACAGAAATGTATTTGGAAATCGCTGCAGGGCATTACCTCCTGCTGCTCCTTCAGCTGCTTCTTCTGGGCTTCAGAGAGCTCCGTCACCCCCACCAAACCAACCGGTTTCCCTTTTTCGTAACCAAGACCCTTCAGGTCCTGAACTGTAATAAACAGATGTTAAAAGACTTTCAAAAACCTGAGATGGGTTGAGAGCAGCAAATCCACATCCCAGGATCCCCGCATGAAGTTTTACATAAGCACAGGTACAGGGTGGGTGCAGAATGGCTGGAGAGCAGCCCTGGG